CTTTAATGATTTTCTGGTTTCCAACATGTCTGAGTATATGACACCTGCTCTCACAGCAGAGATGAGCGGGGAGTACATCTGTATGGCCTTCAACCGCATCACTGGCAAAAACAGTACTGCTAGCACAATGCTTACTGTTATTGGTGAGACTCGTATTGTTTGGACTTCTTTTTTCTCTCACAAACCCATAAGAACTTTTCTAACTTTATATGTTTTCCATGTTTCTTTTTAGATCCAATAACAAATGTTCAAGTAGAAGATCATATGAATCATCCAGTTGAAGGTCATCCACATGATTTAACCTGCAGTGTAAATGGAACTGTTGACCATATCTACTGGATGAAAAATAACGAAAAAATGTATCCAGACAATAGAACCCTGTTTCTAATGGATAACATGACTGTAAGGTTCATGAACATCCAACGAAATGATACTGGGCACTACCAGTGTATGGCTATTAATGCACTAGGGAATATGACCAGCAGTCCTATGATGCTCATTGTCAACTGTAAGTATATATATATATATATATATATATATATTTGTGTTTTTTTTGTGCTATGAACTGAGTTATTTTTAAGTTGTCAAAGCATTTTTGCTTAATTTTGTTGCAATGTTTTCAGATGGACCAGAGATGCCAACCATCATGGGACCAAGAGTGGCACCGACAGAAGACAGTGTTACCCTCACATGCTGGGCAAAATCTGTTCCACCAAGTTCCTTCAAGTGGTTCTTTAATGATTATCTGGTTTCCAACATGTCTAAGTATATGACACCTGCTCTCACAGTAGAGATGAGTGGGGAGTACATCTGTATGGCCTTCAACAGCATCACTGGCAAAAACAGCACTGCCAGCACAATGCTTACTGTTATTGGTGAGACAGCTCTGATGGTGGTTTTTATGTTGATGTAAAATATGCTTGACTGGCATCATTAATCAAATGGGAAGAAAAGTCTTTAACTATTGTGTGTCCTGCTTCCTTTTCAGATCCAATTGAAAAAGTTACAATAGACACATCAAATTCCTGGGCTTTGGAAGGTTATTCATATGAAATGATATGTGATGTAACTGGAACTGTTGGTCATATTTACTGGATGAAAAATGGTGAAAAGCTTCATCCAGACAACAGCATTGTTTTCTCTATGGACAACAAGACAATCATGTTCAAGCCATTGGATCGTCATGATGCCGGACACTACCAATGTATGGCCGTCAATAGTTTTGGAAACATGACCAGCACAGCTTACATGCTTTCTGTCAATTGTAAGTGTAAACATTTTATAATTCACAAGATAAAGAGTTTAAAATGTTTTTTTTTTTTTTTTCTGTTCTACATAATTGAAATTTAAAGACAGTTGAAACCAGATGTTTACATACACTGTTTAAAAAGACATATAATGCTTCTTCCTTACTATGTGGCAGTGTATAAACCTTGTTTCTTTTCAGGTCAATAAGGAATAAAAAAAAGTATTATTATAAATAAATGTATTTTCTAAATGTCAGAATAATGAGAGGGAATGGTTTTTACTTTTAGATTACAAAAATATAGTATTGATTTATTGTCAGTTATAAAAAGGTTGGAGTTTTTTTTACAGTGTATGTAAATATCAAATTCTAGAATTAAATCTTTGCTATTTTGACATGCTGGGAGGGGGAAAAAAAGTACAACTGAACTTGCTGATGTTTTGCAGTTGGACCAGATAGACCTGTTATTTATGGGTCAGAATTTGGAGAAAAAGGACGTGATGTTGTCTTTAACTGCTCTGCCACATCGATGCCACCTAGTACATATACATGGTGGTTCAATGGTTCATTTGCTGCCAATACTTCAGAGTTCACAGCTGGGCCTCTGTTTTATAACATGAGTGGCAAATACACGTGTATGGCCCACAATCAAGCGACAGGAAAGAACAGCACCAACTCTATCATGCTCACAGTCATAGGTAATAAATCTTGCATTGAAGTTTTAAAAATTAGAAAAAGACATTTTAAAAATCATTAGTTTTATTTGACAAAATATCCTTGTTTGTGCCACATATCAATCCTACCTTTTAACCTTGTCTTTTGTTTATAGAGGCAATAGAGTCAGTGATGATCCAAAGCAACACAACTCCTATAAACAATGAAAACTTTACCCTCACGTGTCACATTGTTGGGCCCTATGACACCATCTACTGGATGAAAGATGATATGAAACTCGACATGAATGTCTCTGACACAGACTCATCCATGTACACAGTTGACAACATGCTGCATTTCACCCCATTGGCAATAGACAATAATGGGACCTATCAGTGTGTGGCTACCAATCGGGCCGCTCATCATAAGAGTCCTCCATATACGCTTCTTGTAAACTGTAGGTACCAGAAGAAGAGTGATTTTACAAAAATGTAGAAATAAGAGGGTCTTTTACAGGGGTGGGAATTGAGAAGACTGCCTTCAATATATTTTATTCATGTAAGGGTTAAACATTACTCAATTAAAAGTAGAGAACATATTAAGAATCTGTGAACTTGACTAGGAGTGTTCAATCAGATTATTACTTTTTTATTGGGCAATCCTTCTGATATGTAGGATCTAGTACTTATATTAATACCAACAACACATAATGTACAGATAATTAAATAAATCACAACATTAAAAAATACATTTGGGGAGAAGAAACGCACATGTCTAAATATCAATTTTCCACTACATAAAACTTTTATAACGAACACTTACACAACATGCTACAACAGTAGGATCACTCAACCACTAAATGACAAAGAAATGTTCAGTAAAAAGAAAATAGCAAAAATAATAGGAAGGCTTGATTCTAAAGTAGAAAGTTTCCTCAGATTCGTATGTGTCCTCTGCATCTTTGGTTAAAACATTCTTAATTTTTAATTAACTGAAGGGGGGTAGAGTAGAGAGCAATGCTTGTCAACTAACAGTAGGGTTAATTTCTTACAAAATACACTATAAAAAAAGAAGTTAAGATAAAAGTATGATGCAGTTAACAAATACTTGTAGAAATGCATTTTGCCTTTCAAAAATAAACTTAAGTAAATTTAACTTGGCAAAGGTTACCATTTACTACTACATTTAAAAGTCCATTTTAGGTATTTCTTTACTTTACAAAATGTGCACCCTTTTTAGCTTTAGAACTGATTGAATTATGTTAAAAAGGTGCTAGAAACCCTAGTATTATTCAGTTACTCTCAAATAGTGGGATGCATGTTTATGATCCAAATCTAATGTTCTACAAAACCCTAAAGAAGCTTTAGTAGATTCATAAAAATGTGATTGTGGAGCCTATGGGAGTAGGCTACATTAAACCTTGTGTCAGGTTCAGCACCAGCTGTTTTGTTTTTTTGTTTTTTCATTGTGGATCACTTTGTTGAAAGCAGCCACAGCGGATTGGTAAACTTCTCTCATAAATGGATGGAAATAGTCAGCAATAATATGTAAGAAAACTGGCAGATTTAAATTACATTCCAATACTACTGAGCAAATTTTGCCAAGTGACATCCTAAATCATTAGTACAAAGGAGGATGGATTAATGTAATTTACATTAAATTCTGACCCTTATATCTGCAGCCAATCTGCTTTAAGTGCTATCTGTTTTACCTTCATAAAATAAATACAGCATACCTATGTTTTTTTAAAGTGTTTATTTTAGTTTTCAAAAAATGCACATTCTGGATTATTTGGGAATTTTCATGTAAAAAACTAAATCACAATATCAATCAACAGTACATAACTCTGACGGACTTCTTCTTGTTGTTTGCAGATGGTCCTTTGAATGTGACAATCTCTGGTCCAGACACAGCAAAAGATGGCGCATCTGTGTCTCTGATATGCTCTGCTGATTCACAGCCTGAGTGTGACTTCCACTGGTTCTTAGATAATCAAACCACACCCTATATGAATGGATCTGTAATCAATTTCACTGCAACTAGAGGGCATACAGGGAAATACATATGCATTGCAACAAACCCAGTGACAAACATCACAATGATGCAAAGCAAAGATTTTGCTATTGCAGGTGAGTCAATCTATTATGAGTTCATTTTAATTACACTTTAGACAATTGTTAAAATAAATGCCAAAAAAATGTGAGAGTTCGACAATATAATTAATTTTTTGCTGATTTTGTGTTGATCAGATCATGCTTCTGCAATCTGCATCCAAGGCAAAGGAGCTCTGCTGCTACTGGGCCTGTATCCCTTCCTTGCCCACTTTCTGTTTCTCTGAGTCCTGCCTTCCTGCAGTTCACTTGCCCGTCCCCATGCAGTCTTCAACAAAAATCTCATCATAACTACCACAATAATACACTATACTCTATAGTTTTTCAGCTAAAGTATATAATCATTTACAAAACATGTCAGTTTCTCTTGTGATATCACTGTTCTCCCTTCTATCCTTGGTTAAAGTATGTTAGCTATATTATAAGGCCATTTTACAATAGTCCAGAGTGCAATTTTTTAAATAACCTGCAAATCCCTCTATAGAAATTATATTTTCAAACTTTTCTTAGTTAAACAACATGTTATTTAAACTGTATTTAAATCCAGAAACATATATTTAATTGTTTTTACTTGCTAATCAAGAAAGAAAGCTGAATTATTGATTACATGGACTTTATTGAGGAATACATATATTTTGTGGTAACATTTATTTGTGTGTAAACTTTTATGAGCACTTTGATTAAAATGTAAAATCTGAATAAAAAAAGGTTACAAATAAAGACATGATATGATCATTACAAGTCTATTGCTTCAATATATGCTGGCATAGTAGGAAGGACTGTTGCTCAAATAGGTTGAGACCAAACGTACTCTTTCTGCTTTGGATGGTTCCTTTTTCTTTGCTTGTTTTTCGATTTACCTTGGAGATAAAAAAAAAAAAAAAAAAGTCAAAGAAAATAGATTTTAGATTCCTATAAAATCTATAAGTTTGAACTGGATTATTTTTGCGCGTCTACACATTGGTAAACTCACGTTTCTCCGTGTTGCATGGGCAAACTGCATTCTCCGAGTCCTTTCTTGTTGTGGAATAACCTGTATGTGGAATAGCAAAAAGAAAATGGGGTCGAATAATGTACATTGTTATATGCGGTCTCAGTCTTCCATGAGATTTCTTTCACCTTTGCAGCTGCAGTGTCTTTTGTTGTGTCTTCGGTTTCTATTCAGTGTTATTATTCGGCGTCCCTGAGGAGAAGCTACAGCACAGATACAACTTTTAGAAAGATAATAAAAAGAAAATATAAACTAAAAAGAAATTGACATTTAAGTTTTGTATTAAATAAAATCAAGCCACCATACCATCAGTTTTTGCCCTTGCAATCAGAGACTGATCACTATTCTCAGGTGCACCTATCAAGATAATAACAGAAATAAAGCCTCATAACATCTCACTATTATAAGTCACAAAAATTGTTAATTTTACAAGTATTTTATATTATATATTGCTACCTTTGCCACAGTCAATGAGAAGGAGCAGTGCGAGTCCAAGCAGCAAAATCAGCTTTGGCCCCATGTTGGAGTGAAGTCCGATTGTCAGGTTGTTCAATAAAGAAATCCAGTTCGTGCACCAACTATTGTGAAATGTAAGCTGTCTGTCCCCCCCTGGCTCCTTATAAAGGTTGGCAGTTTGTCCTTATATCACATCCGTAGCACATTCATGCCTTACCAGCAGGATGAAACATGTACCCACCCTTCACTCTTGAGAATGGACATGAACACTTGCCAAGAAATCTTATCTCGGTTTGAGTCACAGCTTGTAGTCAGAAAAAAATAGAAAACTGATCTGAAACAGCCCTCTGGACCTTTTAACAGAATAATGAACCTTTTATCATATTGCTTCTATTTTTTATATTAAAATCTCCAATTTCAAATCCATTTCTGTATGTTTTTCTACCATCTTTTCAGTTTTAAGAAGCGGTTCAAAGCCTTCTTTGAAAGATGAATCGCTGGCATACATTATAATATTTAGGTATTCTTGAGAAAGAGGTGACTAAAATCCTTCTATATTTCAAAATCTTTTGGGTATTAATATCTTAATAATGTAGATTGAACCTGTAATCAGTCCAAGGTGTGAACATTTTGTATAACCAAGTCACTGAAAATCTCAGCTGGAACTATTTTAGTGTACACCTCTTCTGGCTTTATCCATATGCTGAACATTTTGCTCAACCTTATTTAAAAAGCAACTCTTTCAGATTGAATTAATAGCATTTGAAAGCACAGAGTGTTAAATATTATCAGACAAGATGCTTTATGTAAACCACACAATTGTGTTGTTTTTTTCCTGGACAGCTGGTTATGGTTCACAAACATCCTCTGACGAACCTGAGACACATTCAGCTGGATTTATAATTGAATAAAATTATCCTCAGCTGTTTGTCATTTCTATTCTAAACAGAATTTTAGAATAGAGCTCAACATTACAGGCTTTAATATTTTACCAGCACTGCTATAGAGATGATTTGCTCATATCAAGTTTATCGTGAAGTTTTGTTAGATGTGAGCCCAAAGGACTTGTTCTCCCTCCTTAGGTTTCAGAAGTTGCAATGCCTCTTCATTGCGTTCCGGGGGGAAAAAAAAACAACAAAAAACTGTGCGTTCTATGTGGAGTTAAGGTGTGTGTGTTCTATTGTGGAGTTAAGGTGTGCGTGTGTGTGTACTCTTGCTGAACCCACCGGCTAGTAATAAATCTTAGCCATCGAAACACAGTGCAGCTTTGCTTCAGTGGCAGTCATTATGTTGAAAAAACAAAAAGATCAGATAAAAATCAGTTGGGTGACACCAAAAAAGTCTTGTTTAGAAATTTAATGCATTTCTTTCATCACTTGCACAATTACTCATCCTGGACCATTTCAAGTTTCCGTGGTACTTTCCCTTTCCAAACAGCTCCCAAGCATCATAGTGTAAAAGCGTATTTTCATGGGCGAGTGAGCCTTTATGTTGCAGAAAAGTTCACATTTGAAGCACAAGCAACTGGATAAATCTAATACATTGATGATCACAACAAATACACAGTCACTAACATGGAAATCTACTGCCGCTACAATAGGTGGGGAAGAAAATGATATAAAGATATAAAGGCAAAGAGGTAAGATGACATAATGTAAAATGAACCGGTAAGCTATTTTCCACATAGACAAAGACAGCTTTTTGTTCATTGGACTTAATGTATACAAAAGAAAATTAAAATTACAATAAAGACACAGTTTTGTAAGGAAAATAATAGTCCTGAATTAGCATTATGAATGATCGGTTTCCAGTTTGTTTCTGTGAAGACTTCATTAAAAGATTCCCAGGTAACTATAGGAAAAGCCATATCTTATATTTCTTGCACCACCTCAGCTTTTCATACTACTAAGATCCAAAATAAATCCATAGAAAAAGAAGAACCCAAAGAAAAGGGAAATAAAAAGAAAAGTCAAACAAGAGGGGTAGTTGTTTCTAGTGTGCATGCATATTCTGGCACAAATCCCAAGATTTATGGATCATTTTGCAACTGGATAATGCTCCAGTTCTGTCAGGAAGGCAGTGTAGTAGTGAAATACTTCATAAGTTCATCAGAAAATTACATTATTCTCCAAAGGTTTATGAGAGGGCTCATAAAACAAAAGGGATGAGATATGCAACACTTCATGAAGACGAAGTGTATTTTTTGTATTTAATACATTGCAGAGTGATGGTTTGACCTGGAGAGTGATTTCATTAAACTGGACAATCTAATCATACTTCTAAGCTTTATTTTCAGAGAAACTAAATGTGTGAGCTGATCTAATGTCATTTACCTTTGGTGTCACATGAACCCTAGAGATGCCATCATGTTTGTCTGGTCACTTTGTAACAGTGGAACTTATCGATTTCATGCCAAAAACCTTAAAGGGGTCAGATACAAAGCTAAAGGGGTTCAAAACGGACATTCTCTCTAAAGCACAACACATCTCATCTTTTTATCATAAACACAAAAAAAAAAACTCATGGTCCATTTATCAATAACAGTGGTCACCAACCCTGATTATAGAGAAGGCTTATACAGATTAAATGAAGCCCTTTAATAAGCTGATACTATTCAACGTCCAAAGCTTTATAAAGGTCCGGGCAACTGTCTCTGCAAACAGGGACGAAGACCACTGTGGTAGTGTAGGTTTCTAAACTCCATACTCAGTTCTCTGCTGGTTTTTCTAACAGGGACTTAATCTGAGCATGCAGGGGTTCACACACAGCCTGATATCCGTGAGCGGTCAGGTGAAGGTAGTCGTACATCTCCTGATGGGAGATGCTACCATCCGAGAGGACAAAACCTGGATCCACGTTAAAGAAGGAGGCATGGGAGAGAGACGACAAGGCATCCTGGACTAGCTTGTTCACTTCGGCGTTTCGCTCTCGTAGAGGATTTGGCATCCTACCTCTGGGCAGTAAACCCTGCAAGAGAGATGTGTAATGTCAGATTAATTTTATTCTACCATTTCTCTATTATTAGCATCAAAAATGGTGTGAAAGAGTTCAAAGTAATTAATTTGAAATCTCAGATAAACTTTGCTTATCAGATGAAAAGGTATATTTATTTCTAGTATTATGAAATGTGATGGAATCATAAGGAAAGTTGATTACATTAATATTTTTTCACCAGACCTCTGAAATCGTCCCACAGTCATTAAACGAAAGCTTTCAACTTAACCCTGTAGAGTAGACATTAGCACTGAAGCAGCTCATTTCATAAAAAATTCAAGATGGTCATCCTGCTAAAAGCCAAAGACTCTTTCTATGTCCTAAAGGTACCAGTCAATATCCAGACCCCTAAGCAAATGGTAATCTTAAACTAAAAAGACAAATTCAAAATCATACATAAACCATCTATTTTACCTGACAGTGACTGATATATTCAACAAAGAAAATATGGGAAAAGAAACAGCTGTCTATGCTGTGCAGTGAGAAATATATTATGAACAACAGCCAGGGAAATGATAGTTAAAGCAGATTCCACAAAGTATTGACTGATGGGGTTTGACAAATGCTTTCAAACCTTTTCAGATTGTTTTTAAAAGGACTTTAAAACCTCATTTCCATTCACTCCCGGTGGTCTTCCAATAAAACACACTGTCTTTCAATATGTTCTGCAGTTTCAGTGTGGTGAAGAGTGAAATAGTTCACAGGAAATTAATACTATTTGAAAAGCAACGTCCTTGACCAAATTATATGAAAAAAAAACAACAACAAAAAAAAACTTATGAGGTCTGAAAGCTTATCAGTGATGCATTACGGTATTATACTAAGTTCCTCTCTGCAAAACATGTCCAGCACTAAAGAACAATGTTATCTTACTGACACTGATGTCTTTAGTAATGAGAAAGCTGAGATGTCACTAAAAGGGTGAGAAAATATGCATAGTTTGATGGTTCTGTGAACTTCATTTTTTTCTTTTCCAGTGACATGCAGGTAACTTGCTTAGCGCTCCATTAAATGCATTTATCCAGATGAACTTACAAGCACAAGCGTGTGGGCATGGGGCAGCTTGTTGTGAATAACTTGGACAATTGCCATGATACCACCAGCAATCTGTGCAGCTGTGTGACCGTGATTGTTCGTGCCAACCCAAAGCACTACAACCTGCAGCAACAAAAATAAGAGACAGGAAACAGAAGTCTGACAGCTTGTCACATAGAACATGGTGTCATTATACCTGGAGCTTGAAAATTAGCACCGACCGAGCTGAATACAATCAGTCTCTTGTGTGCAAAAAAAAAAAAAAGCAAGCTCATGTTTTTCTCTACTGGAAGCATGTTAAACCTTTGGGCTGATGTTATCCAGTTCTCCGTTGCTTATCCTCCACAGCACATGTTGTGTTGCATCTCCTCCAATTCCGAAGTTAAGGCAATGGAGAGGAGAGAACAACTGTCGCCATATCTGCAAAAAAAAAAGAAACATAAATGTTTCAATATGAAGCTAACACTGACCTAATCCGGTAGACAGGATGTGATTATGGAAAAGGATATTTATCAATAGATACATTTAACTACCTGTATGTTCTTTTATCTATGCACCACTTAGTTTATGGTACTTAAACCAAACTGGAGAGGGATTGTTTATAAGTTCCAGCAATGTGAGACATGCATTTATTTTGTTATACCGTCATATGCCATTTAAAAAGAAAAAAAATATAACTACAAAATCCTTTCAAGGGTTTCTACTGCAACTGTTCTCAGTTGTTTATTATCGTTTTGTTTTTTCTTCCTTTGGCTTGACTTTTGTAGAATAAGCATTGCGTTGTTTGGGGAAATCAGGTGACTAGTTAAAAGCCTGCAGACTTGTACCGTTTGCTTTTCTGCTCGATTTTATATCACAGTCCAACTATACTTCAATCTTTGCACAAATAAACTGCATTTGTCTTAATTTGGCACGACAGTCGTCTTTGTCTTCTTGTCAAATAACTCATTAAGCACCACAATTAGCTATAACATTCCTGGCTTTAGGCAGGGATCTTGCAATCATTGCACTTCATTATTGTACTATTTAAACTGTACTGTTAAACGTGTTCATTAGCATCTCCATTGTTTATTTCCTTTTGCCTCTTTGACCCCATATTGTAAGACAGCAGCCTGTTAGTGAAGTATTCAATTAAATTACAAAAAAAGGAGAAAAGAGTGTTACACATTTCTTGATTTCCTTTTTGTTTTCTTTCAATTTAAGACCAAACTATGCAAGAATGTGCGTCTTACCCCAAACTGATGCATAAGCTGAACAAGAGAGTCTCCCACAAAGATAACATCAGGTTCTCTGTCTTTGGTCTCAGAAACAAATCGGACATGCTAAAAGAGAAAAAGATGTTAAAACTTAAAAAACGGCAACCATCAGGAGTCTGAATGGTAAATGATTGGAATAGGAGTATGATAGATGAAAAAAATAAGTCAAAAAACTAATAAACATGGCTAAGATACATAATAATTAAAGTTCTAGCATTTCTTTTCATTAAAATTGACCCATGTGCATACAGTCGGGTCGCATAATTTAACCAATCCACACGATGGTCACGTTGTGTCACATACCTGGGACATCCACCGTCCATCTCCCTGAGTATCTTCACAGGGAGTGGGTGTGGCGGCTGGGTTTGAGGCTTCTGCGCTCATATTTTTGGCTTTACCTGACTTGGAACGAGGTCACGTAGCCTTTTGTTGATGTTGTGTCAACAGAACGCAAACCAATCAGCTAACAGCCTGTCGCTCAGTTTGATAAATAAATCAGGGTTGGGGCTGACAGAGTTAGCCACAATAGCTAGCTTTTTAGGTGGAGACCAAATGATGCAGCTTAAAACTGAAAAGACCAGGTGCTGAATTATGCAAAAACTGTTGTGTGAAGAGTGGAAAATGTAAGAGCTTCAAATGAGAGTTACAGTCGGAAATATTCATGTAAAAAAGGCTATCATTAAATCCAAAATATCGATATCTTCCTATTCCTTTACAGGAAGTGCTTTTTTTTAGTGAGTGTGTGGCTTTACCACTGTCACCAAACAGGGACCAAATCTTGATTTATCGAGTAATTACATTTTTTGAGAAAATTAAGACATTAATATTTTTTCATTTAAAAATATACTGTACATGTATAGATAATTTTACAAAAATTATCCGATTAAAACAAGAATATCATAATCAACAGGAGAGTTTACCCCCATTGTTTGTATGAAATGGTTTCGCCCTCCCAGGAGCTCTTCGTTAGCGTCAGTCCTGCGCACTACTTTTGCACAAAGAAACGCAGATTCGGTGCGTTGCCGAGCAACGGTAGATTCAAGGGTGAGGAAAAAAAATAACCGGGCCGTTATGGTAAAGTTAAAGTTTTGTTAAAAACGGAGTTTCAATACATTAATATCTTACTACTAGTAGTCTATTTTAGTTCGTTAAAATACATTTGGACTGATTTGATTATTATTATTTTTTTAATCTACAGTAGCTATTTCATACAGGTGTGATTTACTAGCTTACACCTGTTGAACGTTATCCGTTGGCTAACCGCTGTTTTCCAAACGAGGAGGAGTTTTTTGTTTCACATATAAGGCGCATGGATGCTGTGCGACATGCTGTAATTACAGTGGAGCCTCATGTCGCATGTATGTCAGCTTTTAAAACATGCTTGCAGAAGCTTGTGCATTTTTTATTGTGGTAAATTTATTAGTATTCATTGAATTAATTAATTTTTTAAGTGGACCTTATTTCTTACTAGGTTCCTGTGTGATGCAAACTTTGAAACTTTGAAAGGATGTTGGATTTTGGTTGTATAAGAACAATTTAGGATTTTATAACAAATGATAATAATCTAACACAGATTTGAAAAAAAGCTTGAAGACATTAGTTATTTTCACCATAAAACATGTTATGTGTCCTGTGACTTGAATGGCGAAATAATATATATTTTCTTCTTTTTCTGGCAGGTATAGACTTCACAGTTATGGACCTTTTCCAGAGAAACCTGTGGAAGTAGGACTCAGGTAACAGTCTTTTCTTTGAACAGGAAAGATAAATCCAGGCTTATTGTCTTGCTGTGGTTCCTATCACTGTCGCTACAGTCTTTGTATTCGCACTTGGACAGGTTTGCTTACTTCTCTTTCCCTAAATGTGCTTCTGTGTGGTTTAAACTACCATAACACTCTTTCAAGAGTATTTAAGGGACTCTCATTAGAAAAACGTTTTAAAAATGTGAAAACATTTATTTTCTTACTGATTTTTCTGTTTCGTTTAATAGATCTTTTCTGTGAAATGTGTTAGCTATTATAATGGTATACTGAAGAATTAGATGTTAAATACATTTCTTGAGAGGTGCATTATGTTAACAAATTGTAAACTATTTCTGAAAAGTTTCAGGATCTGAACATTGATCCTGGAGCCACTTATCACATACTTTTGTTTTTGAACCGAGTGCATATTCGTTCTCCAAAAAAAACCCCTCTGCCTCTCCATAATTAGTCCTATATTGTTTGACAAGTTTCATCTGGAACATGGTTTAATACCAATTTCTTTCTTTTTTTTCTCTCCAGGCAATTCATAAATGCTTACTGGATTCTTCTCTGTCAGCACATCACAAGACTCCAGGTAGAATTGATCCTTTCTTTTTCCAGACTCTAAAACTGACATGGCATTTTACATGAAACAGATTTTGAGCCCGTCATCTGCAGCCCGGTATTATGATGTATTACAGAGATTTAATAATTTATTAATGTTTTTCTTGAGAAGAAAGGCTGTTTTACTGTTCTTCCATTATTTAAAAAAAAATTACTTTAAAGTGCATAAGGAAACACACCTTTCGGCTGCCAATCTGGAACAAGTCCTGCTCTGTTGATAACTTGATCTCTTTGTTGAATCCTCATTTGTAGGTAGTCTTCCCAAGTATGCGACATTTTTGAGCACTGTGAAACTTTAACCTTGGTAAATATACCCCTCATCTCAAAGATCTTGACAATTTAGGAAAATGTGTTATTTGAGATCTAACTAGCTAGCAGCAATACATTTTTTCTGTTAAGCTCCTTTTGATGCAAAGCAGTGATGGAAGTGATTTTTTTTTCTTTTTTTTTCCTTTGAGGAAACCGTAGTTGGCAGAAAAGGTTTAATTTAAAGCCACTGTTATAAATGGCATATAATCAGCACTCATGTCCTTATTAACATTATTTGACTAAGCTGACCATAAGATTATTGGGATTGCTTGTTTCATGTAATTTTGTGGCAGGGCTAAAATATTTTCATATTCAATTAGTCTAAACCGGAAAGCTAATTTTCACACTTAAAGGTATTAAAGAGGATTATTCTCCGAAATTAAGTGTACAGGTTTATCATAAATGACTTACTTGATGTGCGGCATTCTTGCACTTATGGTTCCCCCAAAAAACAATTAAATCCATAAACTCTGGCTGTGGTGGTACCTACAAAACATTAGCCAATCCACTATATATACTGTCTAAAGTTTATAGGCTAAATTATTTTATTTACATAGGCTCCAAGCATAACCAATACGCTGTTTGGCTATTGGTCTGCCATTACGCCAAAGCACGAAGAAGTATTCCTACGCTTCTTTGCTGCTGCGCCTTTTTTTTTTTTTTTTTTTTTTTTTTTTTTAGCTATTGGTTCACTCTTTTGTGTAAACTGGAGCATCAATGGCTGAAAAGAATTTTGAAAAACTAAATGTTTTGGTAATTAGCAAGACGGTGAGTGTTGGCTATAAGGATCGAGCTCTTCTGATGGTAAAAAACTGATTTTGTAATCATGGAATATTTTTATTACGAATATGATGGATTACTTTTTATCCTTAGACCCTTACGGACAAATATAATGGAATATAAACAATCTAAGATTGGATTTATAATGCAGCCTCAAGATAGGACATCGAAATTTTATTTAAAAAATTTGCATTTAACATGCTGCACATCTTTATTAATTGTGCTTTGGTGCTCATGGTGTCCATAAAATAAAATTGGCGGTTGAATTGTGGAAAATTTAAGTTTACTAAGGATATAAAACATGTCTATATTGGTAAGAGTTTAACCTGGGTTATTTTAAAGTGTGCTGCTGTGTTTAATGTAAATGCACAAAACCGAGAGCTGGCGACCCAGTGGTTGTTAAGAAGATAGAAGCAGTTCAACAACATCATGCAGATTTTTTTTCTAAATACAATGTTTTTATTTAAAAATCTATTTTGTCTAAATTATGATATATATTACTAGGGCCGGGTATTTTCATCAAAGTCCTGAATCGATTCAATTTTGATTAATGCAGTTGTAAATCGATTAATTTCGATTCAATCTCTTTTTACAATAATGAAAGTGGTTCAACTGTGTTTCGAAATACTCATGTATTTTAATTTTTCCTGTCACATTAAACACAAAGTGCAAACTTGTAAATCAGACAGTTTAAACTTGAGATGTGAACAAAACTCTCATAAGTCTCATAAGTGCAAACTTGTTTGTGAAAAGTGAAAAAGTGAAGCCTCACTTGAGCAAACGGATGTGACACCTTATATCTGCAGCGTTGTCTGTAACAGCCACCGGGTGTTTGCTGGTCAGCCCCCATGTCTTCAGTCAACCTATTGGCTAGATGTGCAGCTGTCTGGCTTGAAGTAATCTTGAGTGCATCTTTCCTGCTCATTTGAACGTCACGCGCATATAATACTAATACTAATACACTATAATACTCATTCAGCGTTGATCCCTGAGTGTTGGATTCTGAACTGTTTCATATTTCTGTTGGATGCTAAAGCTCAACACATTGGCACAGAGCAGATCGTGCGGGACGGGAAGTCATGTGCAGAAACAAAATAAAACATTGGGTTAATTTTCAAAAGAAAAGTCTAAATAATTTTCTGTGGTGACTTGCCCTTACTTCAAGAGTCACCATAATGGTCCATCAAAAAGCCTAAAAAGGCTGTATTTTTACCTACAATGGCCATAATGTTGTAGACTCCTATATTTATTTATTTTATATGATTTTTATAATGTGCATATTTTATCTTGCTATGCGAAAATATATATGCATTAACTTATTAAAGGTATTGTGGAGGATTTTTGCATATATTTTTAAAAGGCCTGCCCTCTCCATTAAAAAAAAAAAGCGTATGCGAGAGCATGCACAAGCCCATCTGTCATCATGCACACTATTTAAAAGTTGCTGTTCTCATAGCTCATACAAGCTAATGCTTCCCGAATGTAAGCTCTAACCCCTAAATCCTTCAATCACTGTATAGAGAGAGAAATGGACTACATAGTGGACTTTATAGCAAACGTTTAGACAGATATTCACTGCTTTTTGCTCTGTTGGTAACTCCTCCTTCACTGCGCGGTGCCTGCACCATCTTTTTATCAGTTGCAGCCGAAGCAATAGCCTATGGCGACAGCAGGACGCTGTTACAGTAAATCCCATAATGATTTGCGAGGAGAGCTTTCCACACAAAGCATTCTGGGATATATCTGCCTCTTCTGCGGCCTTTCTTTTCTTCTCATTCACTTCATAAACACTTTTTCTCTTAAGACCCTCGGCCATTTTCAAAGAACTGTTGTGAGAAAGGTGAGCATCAGTGACTGTGAAACCATAGCTCACGACAGATATACGCCTGAAAGTGCGCATGTGCAGAAAAATATAGCTAACAGGACGTCCTTACGTAAACATATCACCAGAATGATTGACAATTATGAGGACCACTTATTTAGAGGATCCACCCGGAAATAAAAGATCCTTTAATGGCTATTTTTACAATTTCATTCTTTGACATTGGGCTGCTCTGGAACCCACAAAGCTATTTTCATTTTATGTCAACATGTGTTGAAATGACAAATAAAACTCCTTAAAATATGATGGGGAATGGCATATTGTTTTCATTTCTATAATTTTTGTATTTGTGTGTGTTGATTTTCTCTTTAAATAGGAGATAGAGAGAAAGAGGCTTTGTAAAACCATCTCCTGTTAGGGCCAAGCAGCAAGAGGAGCAGAAAAGAGAGACATAGAGTGAGAGAAGTAACCGTATTAAGACATTTGCCAACCTGCCTCAAATTCTCCATTATCCCTGTTCCCAAGATGCCAAGGTCCACAGGACTTAATGACTTTAGACCCGTTTTCCTGACCTCTGTGGTTAAGAAGTCCTTTGAGCACCTTGTGCTTTCACACCTGTAAAAGTACACAGGTAGCTCTCCTCTATCAGTCCGGCTCAAAGATGTGTCCTTGTCCTGTGTATCTTTAAAAGACAAGAAGGCTGTCCTATTTAGATGACCTCCGTACACACAGTGTGATCCACCATCGGAAGGAAGGCCTTCAACCCCATATAATCTGGCTAACAGAGTAACAATGCACATGATGTATAAAGAATAAACCTAACAGTTGCTTTCTGACATAAAATATCAAAAGTATATTGTTTTGCTATTGCAGTATGACAAAATACAGCAAAGCTCAAGGGTTTTTTGATCGTTAGAAGAAAAATATATTATTTCGCCATTCAAGTCCCAGGAAACATAACTTGTTTTATGGTGATCATTAGATTTTCTAAATGTTTTTCTTGTAAGTTATTTGATCTACTAAAGGAAGTGCTTCCTTTTCAAGGTCTATATCCACCTAATAATTTCATTTCATCAGTTTATTTTATCTTTATTCTCTCCACAGAACACCCTGCACCATGAGCCACAGATGTGGCAGGTCCTCACCAGAGAGAAGTGATTTATATAAAGAGCAGTCAAAAGCAGCAGATGGCAAGTGTTTCTGTTTCAACACACAGAGTGGGAACTCTAAATATTTTAATCAACACAAAGACAAGCAGCACAAAATAAGACGTCTGAAGACCAGAAAGGAAAGATATCAGAAGGCTGGAAAAGGCACCTCAAAAAACAGGGCACACCTCCACGACTGTTTTTGCCAGAGCAGGAAAGACTTGACCTTTTTCCCAAACTGTTGTCAATGTCGTCATCGGCCAACAAGGAAAAAAACACCAATTTCAAGTGCTCCTCTCGTTACACAGGAGCCAAGTATTATCACGGATAGCCGTCTTACAGGACACCATGGTCTCTTTAATCATGAGGTAAAGTCCATTGACATTGAACGCCTGCTAAGAAAGAACTGCACACTTCAAAGAGAACAGAATACAGAGGAGGTAAAGGATTACTCCTCAAATTTATCTCCAACAACTTGCAGTCCTGTTCTGCTGTCCAGTGATGGTTTGCTGGGTGCTAATGTTGAAGGATGTATGGCAAGTAAAAGGAATGCTACTACAAAAACTCACGATGACTCCCAAGGTATAGAAACGATAAACCTTCAGTCCAGCAATAAAGAGACAGATGTAACACCAGGAGTACTACAACTTTACTCTTCTAGTGAAAGTCGTAAAAGCCTTAACCAATCTAAAGACAGCATCCAAACAACCAAGACTAAAAGTACAGATAAGGGTTTGTCTGGAATGAACGAAGCCTTCTATATGAAACCTTTTGACAATCGAGATAAAATCAATACTTTAAACAGGACAGCAAATGAGATGATTTGTGATCAAAAGCAGCTTTATAAGAACCAGGACACTCAGACTAAAGAGAATGATCTAATATTAAGTCCATTTGGACGAGTTCCCTTCCTCTCTGACAAAAATCCTGACCTTATTTTAAAGAACACACATGTATTGGCTGCACGTTTGTCAGAGTCCCTACATCTTCCAGTTTCAATCAGGAGAAACCCGTTGTCAGAAAGCAAAGAGGTTTTGCTAAAATCCCTGCAGGAGAGACATGGACCGTGCCTACAAGAAAACCTAAAGGAGCTACAGAGATCTCTGGGATTTCTTATAGAGCCTTCAAAGGCAACACTGGAGAAAGAAAAAGACGTGATGGGAGAAGATTACCTTTTCTCTACAGGTAAAAGATAGGACATAAGGAAAATTGCTTAATGATTTTTTTTATTTATTCAACATTGTAAGAAACGTTGCAGTTAAAGATTTGACCCTTAATTTTGGTAATGGGATTAGTTCAGATGGCTTTTTTTAGACTAACATGCTCTTATGTAAATGTTAATACTATTACAACTATGGATCTTTGTGGGAACACATCAATCAATCATTGATTATGTGATATCTGTTTATAGGGCTGGGCCTCAAATTAATATCTTGATAAATTGGACAGTTTTACCTCAATAATGATAAATGCAAGATAAATGCTCCGGCTCCTCTCTCTGAAATCAATGGCATGTGTAGGAAATTCAACAGAACAGACCTATTTTTCATGTATTTATTGAATAAATCACATTAGGTATCACTTTCAATAAAATATGAAAGTCTTGTAACTTTTCAGGTTTAAACAATTACCAATGCATCATTAAACAGGAGAAACATTTTACCTTTCGCAAACATTTTTGCACAAAATGTAATGGAGCCTTTTGCACATCTTTGAACTCAACAGCGAGAATTGTGCTGTAGGCGGTGGATGTTGGATGTGTTACTTTGGGTAGTCCCGACATTTTTCACAAACTTTGCATTTTGTGTTCATTTGCTCAACATCTATGGCATAATTTTCGAACCATCGAACTGAGCGCAAAGTGAGAACGATGTGAATCATTTAAAGCCATACACCCTCATTCAAAACCTGACTGCCGCATGCTCAGCTTCATCTCTGCTTCTTCACTGGGCTCATCCGACATTCTCTTTGTTTACGCTTCTGACTGGATTGGTGAAGTCCCATGATTACACACACGCTGCCGTGTCTTAAAGGGAATGCAAACCCTCGGTTATCGTAGTAAGTGACTGTAACGGTAAAGATCTGGTTTATCGCCCAGTCCTATCTGTTGAACTAATTGGCCTGTAGTTACAACAGCAAAGGTTCAATCACGTGCAAAATATTTTTCCACAACATTTGTTTAGTTAAATGTTTTAGAAATAACATGGTTCACAATTTCTTAAAGTGATTTACGTTTTAGAAGATATCTTTAAAGAAAGTACTAATCCGTTTTTGGTTCATATTTATTAAAGCTTCAGAGGAAATCAAATCAGTTTAAAATTTCTCTTCTTGTTCACTTATACTTCAAACTGCTAATATTTTGTCTTTGTCATGAATCGTATCTTAGCAACATGGATTACCGGTAACATGAATGCATGTGGTCAGCATATATTTAAAGAGAAAACAGTAGTGAGCACTGATGGAATTCCAGTTTTGTTTCCCTCTTTCAGATACATCTTTGAAAACCACAGGAAGTGAAAATTTTTGCAGGAAATCCAGTTCACAGTCACGTCACAGTCTACAGCTGGTAAGATCTACTTACTTAACATTGAAAACACAGGGATGGAGCTCAGTACGTACCATTAGCTAAGTCATAATTGCTTTAAAGGCAAATATTACAGGAGCAAGAATACAATCTGACAAAAAGCTGTGTAACACACATCAGCCTAGCAGAGTATAAGAGTGACTGCACAGTAGCTGTTTCTTCAATATTTTGAGTGTTTTCTGTTGTTTTTTTTTTTCAAGTTCTGAGGTATTCAGTGGTGATTCAAGACTCTGTTAATAGCCCAACTTGTGTAAATATATTTCTAATATTTAACATTTACTTATTGGAGTTCTGTTATATATAGTCTTTTTTTTTCATTTCTGCTTCACTAAAGGTTAACTCTGTTTTGAAAGTTGTTTTTAATTTCAACTACAGTATAATCAAAAACTGCTAGGCTTTCTATACTGGTGTGGTCCTTTGACAGTTGGCAAAAGCTTATGTTGAAAACACTTTATATGTGTCTATTACATACAAAAAAAACAGTATTATTTTAAGTGAGCTGTGTGCAAAATACCTAAAAACGCCTGAGTTTATTTTGTCATTGAGTACTGTAAAAGCTAAACTAAAATTCTAATTAGGATCATATAATGTAAGAATTTATATTCAGATTCCAATTTTGAAGTATTTTCAATTGCTGCTTCAATAAAAACAAAAAGGATTTTTTTTCAATATTTTTTCTGTTTCCAGATTTCTTAAAGTATAAAATGTAAAAAAAAAAAAATAATCAAAAAAAAGGTAGATATGCAAAGAAGGGGTAATTTTACCCAAAGCACACATTGATATCTCTTGTAAAAAAAAATGTCTTTGTAGCTAAACCAAGAAAATATGTTTGGTTAAATTATTACTTTAACAGCCCTAAAAGGTTGAGTAACCACATCCACTTTCTAACACTATGAGGTGCTTTCTGGACTATCACATATTTGATCTTCATTGCTTAAATTTAAAGAATTCCTTTACCTTTGAATCAAAACAGATTCAAAGGTGAAATGGCAGAAGCACAAAGTTTAAGGTTAGAATAGGATAGTCTTTTATTACTATGCTTTTATGTTTAAAAGCCCTTTTGTATTACATTGGTGTTTTCTGTTTTTCTGTATGCAGGTTGCTGAGGAGGTGGCAAACCCAGCTGATTCCTTTGTCAACATTCTGGATGAAACCTTTAGACCTGATTACTCTCCTCAAGTCTTCATGGACTTTGAGCCTTCTGGGACCTCAGTAAATGACTTGTTTACTCACTATCAAATATTACCCAAAGGAGAAAATGTCTCAAGGCCAGAGTGTTGGGAAGAAACCAGATCTAAGACTCAAGAGTCAGCTATGTGCAATTCATTTGAAAGCCAATTTTTGAACCAGTCTTGGAAGTCAAGACAGTGGATTAGTGAGCAGCAGCCACATCATAGCAAAGTCCAGCATTTCTTTCCATACCAAGATAGACATTTAGCAGCTATGCAACAAGATAGACATTTAGCAGATACGCAACTTTTTCCCCAGGAACAGAACGAATCTGAAACTGACAGATTTTATTCTGCGCCTGTCTACCAATCCAAAAGTCACAGTTGCCCACAGAACAATCTCTTGCAGACTTTTGGTCAGCTTTCACCTTTTCACCCAAACTTCAGGTCCAATCCTGCGGACATGATGGACTATCCCCCATCCCACATGCTTGAAAAAAGTCTGGCTCCTCGTTCTTCATCCTTACACAGCCCTGAGCACTGGTCTTTTCCTCCTATGAGACTGTACTAAGGTGCTGTTGATGTCTAGATGGATGACTGCCTGCAAAAAGTTCTCTTAAGATTTAACACCATCAAGATAAAGTGTGCCTGTTTGCTTATTTGAATCATATTAAATGGAAAGTTTATATAGATATAGATATATATGTCATCATAAACAGTTTCTTTCATTTTCATAAAAGGCAACAAAAAATTATGCAAGGTTTGCATCTTTAAAGCATGTTTTATTATGCCAAACACTGCATAACATATAAAACAGCAAAAAAATACAGTTCTCTGTAGAGTGGGGGTTTTCTTTATAAAAAAAATGCTGTTTTGAAAGTTTCTTTACATTTATTTATTTTTATGTACAGAGGGCAGCATTTATTGAAAGTGTACAAAGTAAAAATTAACTTTGAAAGACAGATATAAATTGATCATCCAACATTAAATGCTAGTGGTGGTTTTTCTGGAAAAAACAACACATTAGAGCTGATATCAAAATGTAGTTTTTCTTTCAGTCAACACAGGAAATCATTTTAAGGTAAACAAAGATTGTTTTCATCTGACAAGAGTTTTTCTTTTTTGTTGTTGGTGGGAGGAAAGTCTTCGTCTGTCTCATTGTGTTCTGTTTCCAGTGCACTGCCTGTTCTGATTGCCCTGCGAAGCTGATTCCAGAACAGCTCTTGGGCCTGTGAAGGATTTGTGCAGTCAGAGCCAGGCCATTGAAGATAGGTCTTTTTTAACATAACTTTCCTCATGCGGTGATAGGATGACATCTGTCTGTCAGAGATCGGCTCCAGAAACACGAGCAGTAGAACGTCCCTGTGCTCATCAAACAGCCTGTAACTTGCCAGTTGGATTTCCAATGAGCACCATTCACTCCGTAGAAAGTTATTGCTTACCACACAGATAGTTTTCCTGCTGCTGTACACTGCAGTGACGATGTTGTCCACAATGTTACGACCCAACTCAAAGTCCCTGTGATGCAGGCAGAGCTTAAAGGACGATCCATTTCCCTCCAAGTTGGGCAGCAACTGCTTCATGACCCACTCCTCATCAGAGAAATTATAGGAAATAAAAGCATCATATTTGCATTTTTCCTCCTTCTCTCTGAGTCTATTCCATTGATCACCAAACCAGGAACGGAACACATAATAGCTGTACTTCATTTTCCAGTATAATTTGACATAAAGTAAAGGAGAGACTGCAAACACAAATAGCACAGCTGCAGTACTGAAAAACATATACTTTCCTAAATCTATGTAGCAAACTCTGGTGTCAAAATTATGAAATTTGATTGTTTTATTCTCTTGGCAGGGCATTGCGTACAGATAGATGACCTGAACATTAGGGTTTTTCACTGTATAATTTTGCAGAAGACTGTTTTTGCAGGCACAGCTAAGGGGGACATCACGTATGTCAAGATACTGGAGTAAAGGCAAGCTCTCAAGAGCATCTACAGAAATGCTCTGCATCACATTTCGATTTAGCTGAAGAATGCGTAAGTGTGTAAGATTCCCAAAAACCTCTTTGGAGAAGTTCTGAATTCCCATATTTTCTACAACCAATCTGGTCAAATTTCTAAGATTCTTGAAGACGCCTGGTCGTAACTTGGCCACTCCGACGCAGCAGTTATCTAGCGTGAGGAACTCTAAACTTTTCAGATCATCAAAAACTTCAGGCTTAAGAGTAGATATGTGGTTGTTGGTAAGGTACAGCGATTTTAGCGAGTGGAGTCCTTTGAAAAAGCTTTTGGGTAAAAGTACTAAGCCATGATTTCTCTGATTGTCAAGTTTCAGATTCCTGAGTTTTCTGAGTTTTTCAAATGGTGAAATTGTAACCTCTGAGTGGTAATTAATCAGATTTTTTTGTAAATCCAGCACTGTAAGAGTGTCTTGAAAAGCTCTGTAGTATGAAGAGTCAATCTGTTTGAGGTAGTTTCCATCTAGGTAGAATTTTGAGAGACTTTTTAAGCCCTCAAGGCCTGATTGCTGAAAATGGGCGATCTTATTACCTCCTAAGTCCAAAGTTATTAATTTTCCTAGGTTCATAAAGGTTCCATTAAATATGACAGAAATGCGATTGTTGCGTAGATTGAGGATTTGCAGGTTGTAATTATCGCTAAATGTTTCTTTAAATAAATCAGTGAGGAGATTATTGTCTAGCCGCAGGGTCTTAAGTCTTTTTAGACCTTTTAGGGCTTTGCGATCGAGAAAAGCTAAATTATTTATGTTGAGCTTCAACGTCTCAATATTTGGCATGTGACTGAAAGCATATCTATTGATTGAACGGATTCGATTGTAACGGTAGCTCAATTCTTTTAAACTATTAAAATAAGTCCCATTTTTCCTTATACAACTTGGTAGTAAAGTAAGATGGTTATGCTCTGCATTAAACTTACTAATATTGGTTTGATTGTTTAAAAACTCCAGGCAGTTTACTTTTTTAAGCTCATTATTGGATAAATCTAAGGTTCCAATGATTTTAGGGCAGATTGATAAGGTATTATTATTTATATTCTTGATGCAATTATGTCGTAAATCTACATTTTTTATCCATTTTAGCTTTCTTCTTAGAAAAATGCATAAATCCATAAGAAGGGTGTTATTCTTAAGACCCATCCCTGAGAATGCAACATGACCTGCATTGATGTTGCTGATGTTTAAAAACTCCACCGCCTTGACACTTGTTGACTGCAATAGCAGCCTCTTAACATTGCTTAGATCCACTCCTTGTAAAGCTATTGAAGGTAGTTTAGAATTGAATGAGAAGTCAAGAAGATTGATGAACCTGAATAGTGATGGTCTACATCCCAAAGTGTGCAGATTGTTTCTGCATAAGTGTAACACCTTTAACGACTGTGGTAGCGATGTATTTAAATCACTAAGTGAAGTCAGTTTGTTTAAGCAAAGGTCTAAGAACTTTAAATTTGTAAGAGCTGCTACAGACTTTATTAACATGGAAAAATTTGTGAGATGGTTGTTCCTCATATTTAATATTTCTAGATTAGCAACGTTGGAGAAAATCTCTCCAGGCAACATTGTTAAATTGTTGTTTGCCAGGGAGAGGGAGGTGAGGTTATGCAGGTCCTCAAACAATAAAGGGCTGAGCTCTGATAAATTGTTAAAGGACATATTTAGATACTTAAGGTGATATAGCTTCTGAAAGGCCAAAGGATCAATCGATGTCAGATTGTTCTGAGCTAAACTGAGGAACTCTAAGTTTGGTAAATGAGCAAAGCTGTTGTTGAGAATGGTCTCAATAACGTTGAAAGACGCTGTAAGGTTGACAGCAGATCCAGGGAGGTCGTCTAATATGCCAGACATGTTCTTTTGTTTTTGATTGTAGCAGTGGAAACTTGTCATGTTTGAATATGGATCTCCAATGCAGCTATTAAAGCTGTAGCTGCAGATTTGCTGAATAGCACAAAGGATGAATCCAAACAGTGTTACTTGATAAAACAGAGTGGCCATTTTTTTATAGTTAATAACCACAAATGAAGATTTTAAAGATCTCTAACTGCTTCGTGGTTAGTTATGATGTAATGACGGATCGAATCTCATGGTTGCCTTATTGGGTCTGAAGAAGCAGAACTCTGTGAACAAACAGCATTTCCAAATCAGACTCTAATAAATACAATTACAGAAGCAATATGTCAGTTCAAAGAAAAAAATCAGTTTTACCTTTTTCCTCGTAGTTTCGGGTAGAGTCCCACGATCAAGATAAGCGTTTAGTTCTCTGGAAACTTGCACCCTGTTGATTAAAAATAATGTATAGTTTCCTCTTTTTTTTTTTTTTTATGACTTTCATAACCCAACACCGCCTCTTGTCTTTTACTTCCTGTCCACTGTACATCTGCAGTCTACACAGCACTTCTTCAACACCCCCCTGCTGGTGAAGCTTCTCAGTCATCCAGGACATGGTAACTTTAATAAGGTTAAAGCACTGAGCTACTGTTGAAACAGAACTGAGATGTTTTGTGTCTATAGAATACTCAACTGTTCACCTGCACCTCAAGGATAAGGGATACAGTACTTTTCTGATAAATAAAATAGATAAAGTGTGCCTGTTCATAGACAGAAAATAGCTGGTTTAAGGTAGGAGTGAAGAAAGTAATTCAAAATAAAAGCAACTGTAAACAGGAGGATGCCTCAAATTTCAGTAGAAAAAATAAATAAAAAAACAGAGAACACCAATTTGCCCAATATCCAGTCATTTCCAAAGCAGTTTACAAGTTCTTGCATGAGAATGAACATCTCTCCTAAGCCAGGTCAACAGCGGCTGAGAAAGCTCAACAAATTATGGACAAGACGTTTTTATCTACAAAATAAAAAAAATAACAGCTGCCTTAGTGTTAACTTTTTTGTGCTCACCTCCCTGAATGGTGTGTAATTTCTCTCCCTATAGAAATTAACCAAGGGTTTGCTGCTCATGCTAATCTTTTTTAATTACTGATATCTAGCTACATACAGTGTTTTTATTGATAGCACTTGTTTTACATCTCATGTGTTATAGTCATATTAACTGACAGAGAAATTGCAGAAGAGACATTTTCCTTGATTGGTTGGAGCATGGAGTAACACATTATTGCCCTTTCATATTCTTTGCTACACTCTTGTAGTATTTAATTTCTCCTGCTTAAACTGGGAAGAAGCACTTGCAATATGAAAATGACGCTCATAAAAACATGAACAGTCATCATATGGAATCTAAAAGAGAAATCCCTATTGGTCTAATTGCTGGCTTCAAACTACACTTTATCCATGTCCTTTTAGCAGCTGACTTCAGTGTGGCCACAAAGATAGCGTGACAAATTCTCCACCTAATTTCAGATCTTTGGACTTCCAGTATTACTCAATAAAAAGTAGAATGAGCGCAATAAGCACAAAAACTTCTACTGAATTTGCCAATGCTTTAGCTTTCATCTGATCAACATTACATTGTTTATAGTGTAATCATTACCTTATTGAATTTTATATTAAATTACTTACATGTTTAAATGTATTTGGTAAAACTCTGAAACATCAAAAAATTGTATTTTGCTGATAGTTACAAAATCTCAAAAAACCTAATTCCAGTCTATACCTACTCTCAGTTGGTGATGATAAACACAATAGATTCATATTTACTGTATTGTACTTCACAAATGAATTCATTTAGGGTTTGAGACTGACAATTTTCATATTTCAAGCTTGTTATTACGCTTCCTTACCTTGAATGTAACCAGTTCCTCTCACCTTGACCCTGCAGTGAGCTCTGCTAACGTGTGATTTAATAACACGTACTTAGTCAGAAAGAAGAAGAGGGTTGCAGCCCAGTTCCTGATGTAAAAGTAATTGAACCCACAAAACACAATTTCTTTCTTGTTTTATTGAAATACTGGTGATTGTGTAAGTACAATTACAGAGAATTATTCCTATAAAGACAATTTTATGTGTTATTGAAACATGATTAATTGAAAATTAAATAGTATTCTATGTTGTTTTTTTGTTTGTTTGTTTGTTTGTTGTTTGCATACCTAAATAAATATGAGTCTTAAATGTCCAAAACTATCAGGGCAAAAGAAAAGGTCAAGACTGCTTTAAATGTCCCTATCCTTCATTGTTCATAATTGGTTTATTTTTTGTTCTGCCTCCACCTCACATTATTAACATTGTTATTTCAGAACATATATAGAATGTTACACAATAGTAAGAAATGTTAATGATACAAAATAGGTATAGTTATAGTTAAGAAATGTTCAAAAACAAGTTTCAGATCAGACAAATATACAAATTCTAACTTGTTATTCTAAATAATTAGTCAGTGATCAGTTTATCCCCTTATCTTCTGCTCTCGTGCCATCTGGCACAGTCCACATAAAGGCAGGCAGGCCATGACCAACCAATCATTACACACCGAGCCCTAAAATTCAAAGAGATCATTACAATTACAAAAATATTCATTTAAATGTTACATACAAATACTTTTCTTAACATACAAAAACTCTAGATATAAAAGTGTAAAGAATGTATACCATTTTGAAATTAATATTTCTTTTTTTTAATCTAACAGCTTTTCCAAACTCACTTCAATGTTGTTCTTATTGCGGATGCTTGTTCTTAAAGCAATCAATGCTCCTGGGAGAAAAGGTAGACAGCAGCTCTCTCCGTTGTCCCGGGCCACATTACAACCAAGGATGCATGGGATGAATGCTCCACATAGACCTGTAGGTGAAAAGCAGGTTAAAGAATTTTTAACTCAACGATGGAGAAGTGTGACCAGCTTATTTTTAAAATCCAATGAAAACTCTTACAGATGACACAGTCATCACAGCAGTCGAACACACTTGTACTCCACTCTGAAGAACGTGCTGTAGTTACTGCGTATTGTCTGGCATTGGTAGGTTGTGTGTTGATAACATTAGACTGGAAAGCCATGGCTAAAAGCAAAGGAAAAGATTAGTTGGGAAACAGTTGGAAACTTTCTTTTTATTGTTCATCCTACTGAGAAGAGTTTAATATCCATCGCAGCAAATTAAATGGTTAAAAAATAGATGAGACATTACCTTCTAAGGCTTGTGTCCTTGAAGAATGCACAGATGCCAAAGATGGTCACTGCTGGAGAGACAAAGCATGGGAACTGCTCTTATATTCTGCTCTTAACTCAAATAACTGTTTCTGTACTTATGTCACACAGCAAACAAGCGAACCATAGGTTAACAAGCGCAAACCTTAGGCAAAGAAAAAACTATTCAGAACTGAGGCTTTTATTTTGGCTTTTGAAGGGATCCTCCTTAAATGAAGTGGCTTTATCAGTGGGAAAGCAACTAGGGAACAAAGGAGGTTTGACTTTTGATTTTGTTCTTTGACTTTTAACAAGTTGGTGAGGTGTGGTTTGTGTGTACTGAGGGTCAAAGTGGAGGCACTACACACAAAGAAATAAATTTGTGCTTTTGTGTACGAAAAGCAAATTGAAGGGAGGAAGTGACTGGGTGAATTAATCAGGGGGGTGGGGCGCTCTGGTTGGGTGGCCTGTGCGGTGCGTGTGCTGCCCAACATGCTTTTGCTGGCGGTTGTCTGGGTGCGGGGCAAGGGGCCACGGTTGGTTAGTGTGGCGGTGTCACAGTTCCTCCCCTTCCATCCTGATTTTAGGTTCACTTATTGGGTCATCCGATAATCCTGGGACCGATCACCGGTGCCGCCAGGTCCTTGGTCTTGGGATTATTGGATGTGAGTGCTATGTGTGAATGTGCATCTGCGTTTTTTATTTTATTTTTTTTTCCCTCATCTTCAGAGAGACTGTGTGGTGTGTGGGGGGCACGAGGGTGGGAAGGCGTGATTGAGACTTATTTTTTCTTTTCAAATGGGAAACAAAACGTCTTCAAACTTGGAAAAAAATCCAACATTTTGGGAAAAACTAGATCTGCTATTTTTACAGCTTTTGGGAGATACTTTTGTATAAAGTAGGGCAGTAATTTATAAAAATGTTTAATTGAATTCTAGTTTTCTGCCAAACAGCAATGATGAACTGCATGGCAGCATTCTAAACCTAGCAATTGTAGTATCTAGGATAGAGCTGTCAGTCTGGTAAAAAAAAAAAAAAAAAATGGTTGTTGATCGAAATTGTAAAGGTGAACTTATTTTTGAAATATAAAACTGACTAAAACTAGACTAAAACCTTTTAAACTTTTAGTCAATTAAAACCCACTAAAAGTATCACATATCGTAATGACTGAAACGCGGCTAAGACTTACAATAGTTTTCGTTCTGAAGACTAAGACCAAATTTAAGATGGCTGTCAAATACAACACTGCTCCTGACTTATACAACACTTGCCCATAACTTATCCAACTTACTCTGGTGTTTTTGCCAATTTCTTCGTATGTCGGCATACGCTGGCTAAATCGTCAAGCTGTGACAGAACCATGAGGCTGTGCACTTTAAGATTAAGATGCTAATTTTTGTCCGCAAATCTGTGTAGTTTTGCATTAAAACAAAGGAGAATACCTCAGGGCTGGACTATAATGAAGAACAAAAAATGCAGCCTTCAGTTGATCCAAGTTGGTCCAGTTTAATTAGAATGTTGTTATTTAGCAAGTTTTTTAATTGATGTGACCTCTGGAAATAAATCAAATAATGACTAATATTAAAACAGCCACCTATATTAAAGAACATTTACAGCAACAGAAGAAAACAAAGAACTAATTGTGTGAAGAGGGTGGAAACGATAATATTAATTAGGTAACTAAGGCATAACTAAAACTGAACAACAAAAGTTAAATATTGACACAAGAACAACCCAACATGATTAGAGCAATCAAGAATCTATAAAACCAAAAACAAATACCTCAAAGTTTTGACATGTTCCTTATGTTCCTAACTGAGCACTTCTCTCACAATCTGCAGGTTTAGTAGTGGTTCCTAGAATTTGGAGGTAGATATTCAAGTTATTACATTCCTCTCCTGTGGCACCAAATTCCGCTTTTAAACCATGAGCCAGACAACCTGTCTAAGTTTTAAAATAGGCACAAAATAAAATCTGCTTAATAGCTCTTGAAGTTGAAGTTGAAGAGAGCTCTATCTCTCCATAGTTAAGCTGCCATAGACTTAGGCTGCTGGAGGACATAGGGACCACTTTTCATCACCTTGCTTCACTGAAAATCCATTCTCCCATTTTGCAATATTTATTAGTTCAACTACTAACTTCTCAATGCATAGTAGCTACATCTGATCTGGTCTTTGTTTAGCTATGACACTGTCTTAATAGCGATGCATCAGCTTGGCTGTTGCTGTCAATAACTTCATTTTATGGACGATACAGTTGTCCCTGTTTTTTCAGTATTTCTACCTGATTTGTTCATAGAAGTGTTACCTGAGCTTTTGCTGTAACTATCTGTATGTGGTCTCTTTCATTCTGTTATCTTAACATCTGATTCAGGCCCATATGCTTAATTATGTTTATTTCACATGACAAAAACACCTATGAAGCTTGTCTATTATCATATTTTCTAATATACTGTATAAAGTAGGGTTGTCGTGATAATAAAATTTCAAAATGGATACAAATACCCAAGAAATGTTCAATACTAATACCACTTTTGATACCGTGGAGATAAAATATCTAAATATAACATGAAAAACTTACCTCTTTCAATCTCATCATGGAATATGCTGTTCCACTGTCATACATGATAGCTGAATTAGTGTGCAAATAAATACAAAAAAAAAAAAAATGAAAAAACAAATCTAACAATAAATAAATAAATAAACTAACAATATTTTAAATTTGTCTGAGCTATTATTTTTTAGGATTGACAGGAGTAATCAGGCTTCCTCCGAGTCTAAAAGCATGACTGTTAGGTTAGCTGGCTTCTCTAATTTGTCCTTGGTGGGAGTGTGTGTGTACATGGTTGTGTGTCTTTGCGGGTCTCTGTGTTGCCCTGTGACAGACTAGCAACCTGTCCAGATTTACCTTCCCTCTAACCTGTACACTGGCACCAGCCCCGACACAGCCCTGACGGGGACTAAGCATTAAAAAATGGATGGATGGATTATTATTTTAAGGTGCGTATAATCCAGATATCTAAGATTAGAAATATATGCATTATTAATACCATGCTGAATTTGTATTGTATCCAGATACAGCGTTTAATGATCTATGCTTTTCTTGTATAAATAGTTTTGACAACCCTGCTACAATATATGTATCAGTGCCTCTGTGTTACTTTTGTGTGTCTGCTGTCTTCTTAAACCCCCTGAAGATGGTAAATTGGTACATTCATGCTG